CATATGGGGCAGAAAAGGATGAACAACTTTTAGCTACCAATGCATTGGCATATAAATTTGATGAAACAGTGGAAAGCCTCATGGTTTACAAAAGCAAAGAAGGGTAAACCTAATGTCCATGTACTTTATGCCAAACAAACAGTATTCAGCTAACAGTATTTTTCACCAATAGTTGTTTGCCAAAAATCTCTGTCATTTCCTTCTTCAGTTATACTTTGGCTCACCCTAGATACAGATGGATATGTTTATGCTGACTCTTCATTTTCAGTATTTGAAGGGTTTAAAACAGGAAATACAGGAAGAAATACCCTTTTTGACGGAGTTGATTGGTGACATGAATATAGAGGTTGTATACCTAATGTTTGTCATAACCATAAGTAAGGAAATAATAAAAAATAAAAACCTCTTTCAAGTGAAAAGGTAACAATATATAATCCTAATATATTGCCAAAACCTCAAGCATCCAGTCTTCTTGTAATTTATACTATTGTCTTAAGGTGACAATAAACAGTGGCTATGCCAATTCTCATTGATATATTATATATTAAGGTTTGTGCTTATACTAATTACTATCTTATTTGCAGCCTACAGGATCAAATGAGCCACAAAATCTTGAAGCATCAAACTCTAATGAAAATACAAACATAAAGGTAAAATGCCTACTTCAAAATTTATTCTGAGGCATTTATTGGCATTTCCACATGCTAAAGTGGGTGAGAGGATCTGTTTATGTTTGTGTGTGTGCGCGCACCTCTTTGGCCATTTCTGGTGAGGTAGGAGGGTTTTGGTGAAAGTGAATTGTCCCATCAAGATCTGCATAGTCTAGTTTTCCGTTGTGAAAAAGCTCACAAGGAAACTAATCCCCGATTTGAACTAGTGAGCCTGACATTTAAACCTTGCCACATGGCAAATTAAAGATAAGCCATATCTTTAGTCATTTTGGGAATGTAGGCTATTTTCTTAAAAACATATTGCAGCTTCATTTGTATCTATTGTCATCATTGCAGGAACACCAGAAACTTCTAGTCCTACACAAGCATAACACCTAAAGGGTGATAATCCACGGGCACCCTCCGAATAAAAGCACAACAGAAGGTGACACGTCGGGAAAGCTATACATCTGCCAGACTCAATTGAGGATCTCTACACATTAGCAGGTATTACACTGTTACAAGATGCAAACCCCCAAAAATTTTACCAATAAAAAAGAAGCTATGTGTCTCTAGAATAAACTTCCAAAGAATTTCACTAAGTGTTTGCTAAGGATATCTTACAGTTGTAATTTGGTTGTTACCAAATTACAACTGTAAGATATCCTTAGCAAACACTTGCATAAAATGTTGTATGTTATTAAGGCTTACTATACACAAGCATGAGGTAAAAGAAAACAACAAAAATAATTTCAAGTTTGATGCAGAGAAAAATTTGGAAGAAGAGGGAGTACAATTCTCATGGAGATGGCACAGTGGAAGAATTGAATGCTTTGAGAGAAAATGATCATTTGATATCTTTTGAAATATAAAAAGAGATATGCCAATCATCAGTCCATTGAGACCAGTACTTCAATGGAGATTCTGAATGCATTGTAGCAAGTTCAAATTTTATATAATTAGGATAAAAAGAAACAAAAGTATAAATACAGTGTATATTTCAGTATCTGTATTTGTGTATGCATATGTGTGGGCATTATGCAAACTAATTTGTATAAGAACGGCATTTTGCTTTTTCTTTTGTATTTATTTTTACCGGAGAAGCTCAAATTAATCATAAAATATCATTCAACATAAAATCATGTAATGCTAGCAATGGAGTACAATAGAACTTACAGCTTCAATCTCTGTTGGCGAGTATCTAAAACAGTGTAAGCAGCTTTCTGAAAATGTTCCTTCTCTTCCTCCAAAGCTTTCTTCTTCATGAGCAGAGGTTTTGCTCTTCTCTATCTTTCCATAATTCCAGCAGAATTCTGATCAATTTCACTGCAGAGTGAAAGTAGTAGTTAAGTAAAGATAAACAAATCATGGAGAAGGATAAACAGCTTTGGGCTTGTTAGAGTGAATAGAGCAGACAATTAGAAACTTGAGCAAGGGGTATTTATTATTATGATATAAAACTCACCTCATCATCTTAAGCATGTTTGTCATTACCGTCTGACCTGCTGTGCATATCTGCACTCGATGAAAGAAAAGGCGTTGTATTTACACAAAGATTAAAAAAACAAATTGAAGACCATCCAATATCCAAATGACACAGGCAGATTGGAGGCAGAAGACTAAAACTAAAGGCACAGCCAACACTAAAACGCTATTCACGTCTCCGGTGACTTTAATAAGAGGTAGTTCCTTTAACATTCATCTAATTTGATAACACATTCAAAAGATCCTAATTATACCTTTTCTTTTTCTATTTTCCTATGTGTCTTTTAACTTATTGATGATTTATAAAATATATTGCATATTTACGTTAAACACTTTAGTTCAGTAAATATTTAATATTCTAAGCTATAGTGAATCGATTGGCTCCAAATTCTCGTAGGTAATATAGTGTTTGAGTCTACTGGGATCGCCATTGTCTTTCTATATATCTTGTATCGATAAGAATATTGTATTATCAAGTAGAAGTCGAACATTTATGTGACTAATTAACTTTGAACTTGAAAGGAAAAATGGGTCTGGCGAAGGAATCCCACAGCTTTGTATCTCTGAGACTTTGATGGTTAATACTATTATTTTAAAAATTGGACTGTTCTTTGACCTGGTCAAGGACCAGTTTTCGGGTTGACCAGTTCAACCGGTTGGTCTGATCGCTATACAACAGATAATCTCTTAATGACTTTTTAGTCCGTATAAGTTTAAAAATCGGCAAATACACTCCTAACATTTTTACATGAGTCCCTATATATTTGAAATAACTCACAACTTTTATTATTAATTATTTTTTCTCTCTTCCCATCACTTTCATCTTTCTTTTCTTTTCTCTCTCCCCATCACTTTGATCTTTCTCATTTTTTTCTCTTTCTCCCCGGACTTTCTTCTTTCTTCTATCCCTTTCCAATTTTTCTAGTAACTTTTTTCTTTCTTCTTCCTTCCTCTATTCTTCTTCATCTCCTCTTCTCTTTCTTCTTCCTTCCCCTCCCCTTACTTCTTCTTCTCTACATGATAGATTTTAGAGTAAATAAAGAAGAATAGAAGATGAAAATGAAAGATGCAATTTAGTCTTTGGAGATGAAAATGCTATTGAAATGAAATAAATAATGCTTGCTGGGTCAATGAAATAGAGAATAAAACGGTGCTGCAAATCTGGTTTAGGAATTAAAGATCAAATTAACCCCAAAACAGTGAACAATTTTAAGCTCCAAACTGGTCAGACCAGCGGTTTTTACTGTTCCGCCTGTCTATTACCGGTCCAAAGCGGGTTTATGTTATTTTCAATTTTTATGTTAACTCGGATCGGAGTTAAGGCCAGGTCCCGGTTTAACCGGCCGGTCTGGTCCGGGTTTTAAAACAGAGGTTAATACCAGTCTTTCTTACGTCAAGAGCATGAAATATAATAAAGATTGGTTCGCCCTTTAATTTTACAGACTTTTTTTACAACTCTAACGTATAGCTTGCAATTGGATATGTGAGACTTATTGTTAGATAGGCGAGACCTATTGCGAGTTGACGAATTACAGATTGTCACGAGATCTATTACGAACTAACTAATTATAGCTCTTACGTTAAGGTTGTGAGAGAAAATTTGTAAGATTGGATTGTAAATATAGTATTGCTATTGAAATAAAAAGAAAATAAATAATTATTGCATCATGTGTAGAAATGTCTTACAAACTGGTGGATCAGATAAAGAAATAAAATGGATAACCACTTGTTATCCCTCTTGTAAAATATGCAAAAATATACAAGGTCAACTTTTTTCTCCTACTTGATAATTTTATATTTGCACTCTTTCTTTCTACCTTGTTATTTACTATTTATTTTATTTATTTATTTCATTTATGATAAATTATGATTGTCGACTATGTTGAAGTCAAATTACTTACGTACGCAAATCGATCCTCTGAATTTGCCATCAAATGACATTCCCATGCCAATACCATACCCCAAATTTATTAAAGGCTGACAACGATACGATTGATTTACAGCTTTGAGATACTGAAATTTCATTTCATTTCATTTTCTTTTCACTGTCTTTGAATAAATTTGATTTTCATTAAGATTGCCACAATTAAGTTTCATATTCACGTGAATATGAAACTTGACCAAGTAACCATTTACCATTACCATGCATGATTCATGAGTGGCTGCCATGGAACAATTATTGAAACCTTGGATGGGGTAATTTAATTGGGTTTTACCGTATAATCAAAGGGTCAAATTACAGATTTATAATAGGAGTTTTATATTAAATGGAAGTTTGTTTTATATTAAAGAGTAAATAGATTTTTTCCACCCAAATAATGATTTAACGATATTTTTTCACCTATAGACTTTTAAAATATCATTTTATTATCCAAATTTATATTTTGTTTCTGATTTCGACATCTTTGCAACCTTACATCACCGTCATTTTTTTCTTCGATTATCACTCATCAAAACCTCTTAAACCCTACTCATGCTGATCTCGCCAATCGTTGATAATTGAGTAATTATAGTTTGGACAGCCACCCCTCCCAAGTTAAATTCTAATCAATCACAACTACCAAAATCTAACATTCAACCACCAAAAGACTCTATTCGTCGTTGGAATATAAATTTAAATAATAAAGTGATATTTTAAAAGTTTATTGGTGAAAAAATATTATTAAACCATTATTTGGTAGTAAAAAATTATTAACTCTATATTAAATTACAGATTTATAATAAGAGTTTTACAGCTCATCAACCATGGCAAGTGGCAGAAATTGAGGAGTAAGCGTTTCTTCAGGAGTCACGCCCCTTGATTTCGTACCCTTTAAATAACAATAATAATTGCGTAGACTTCCAACAATTAATGCAAGAATCAGATGGTGAGAAGAGATGGGTAAGACGTGTTAAGCCTCTATTCTATAATAATTACATACGCATTATGATTCTGACTTTGTGTTGGTTTTCAAAATCCATCCAATTAAAGTAAATTATCTTCACATCTGATCTCAATATTATTGTTTAAACTTCGAGGACGCTAAGCACCACCTTCCTTTTATATATAATATAATGAATCTCTTTTTCATTCTCTCAGTGTAACAATGTCGTCTTGGTCAGATGCAAGATCACCGCTACCATTGCTGTTTCGGAGGCATTCAAGTGGCGACGTCAAGAATTTAACGTCAGTTTCAAGTAGCCTGTTGCCGGCGTTTGGAACTGTGGTTGATGAGGGACACGTGAAGCTCAAGAAATTCGTTATTGCTCCCTATGATTACAGATATCGGTAGGATGAATGTTTATATAAACTTGTGGATATATATACGATTATATTATTTATATTATTTATATTCTTATTGATTGATTGATTGATTGATTGTTCTGGTTTTGCAGATGGTGGCAGACGTTCCTTGTAGTGCTGGTGGTGTACTCAGCTTGGGCATCTCCTTTCGAATTAGCGTTTAGAAAAGCAGCAACAGGATCACTGTTGTTCGTTGATTTAGTTGTTGATGGATTCTTCGCCGCTGATATTATCTTAACTTTCTTTGTGGCTTACTTGGATAAATCAACTTACCTTCTCGTCGACGATCACAAGAAAATCGCTACACGGTATTGTTATTTCTATCAAAATACAAAGCTGCCATTTTTGTCTTAAAAGAAAAGAACTGAACCTTTTGATGTAACAACTAACAGGATTTTGTTTTTGTTAGGTAATTTCTTGGGGCTAGGACTGAATTAACATTTTCTTATTAAATTACCACAAAACCATAGACAGGCTTCACATGTTAATAGTTAGTTAGCCGAATTGATTGTAGAATATTATTAATAGGTCTAATTTCTAAACCATTGATCTTATGGTTAGATGACAAACTAAACCTTAGTTATCTGGATGGGTTATTAAGAAGTTTTGCGGCCGTAACGGCTTCGATCATATTTTGATCCATTACTCTTGTAAAGTATTTAATGGGTCCTTAAGATTAAACCTGGTTATCAAATATATATATATATATATATAGTAACATTTGTGTTACGGTACCTAATAAAAGTAAGGTAGTGGAAGGTGAAGGTGATACATAAAATGTTATTTTCAGGTATGTGACAAGATTATGGTTCACCATGGATGTAGCCTCAACCCTACCTTTTCAAATCATATATAGAATCATCACTGGTGAAACGACTGAAGGTCAAGTTTTTGCCTTCCTCAACTTGCTTCGACTTTGGCGACTCAGACGTGTCAGTGAACTTTTTAAAAGGCTTGAGAAAGACGTACGCTTTAGCTACTTCATCACAAGATTAATCAAGCTAGTCTGTGTAAGTATTAAGTATCATTTCTTTATATAATCAAATATTTTCCCAAGTTCCATTTTTACTAAACCATTTTGATTATTATTACAGGTTACACTATTTGCAGTGCACTCAGCAGGTTGCTTTTACTACTGGTTAGCTGCCCGGCATAAAACACCAAAAAAAACATGGATTGGAGATCAGGTTGAAGATTTTAAACACAGAAGCATCTGGCTTGGCTACACTTATTCCATGTACTGGTCAATTGTCACCCTCACCACTGTTGGCTATGGAGATTTGCATGCTGTCAACACAGGGGAGAAGGTTTTTAATATGTTCTATATGTTATTCAATATTGGCCTCACTGCTTATATCATTGGAAACATGACAAATCTCATTGTCCATGCTGCTGTTAAGACCTTTTTCATGGTAATTCTACAGTCCTAACAAAAGTAAAGCATTCAATCTTTTTTTTTTTTTTTTGAATCGATTGTCTAATGGGTTGAAAGAGGGATGCTATCAATGAGATTTTGCGATATGCAAGCAAAAATAGACTCCCAGAAGGCTTAAGAGAGCAAATGTTAGCACACATGCAACTCAAGTTCAAGACGGCAGAGTTGCAACAGGAAGAAGTGCTCCAGGATCTTCCCAAGGCAATACGATCAAGCATTTCCCAGCATCTTTTTCGTAAAACTGTTGAAAAATCATACCTTTTCCAAGGAGTCTCTGAGGACCTTATTTCACAAATGGTAAAACAATTTCCTTCCTTCCTTCTCAATAAAGATTTTGTCGTCTTCACATTTGTTGACTTGTTTCAGCAATGATAATAACAGTAAAAATCATCAACGGTAAAAACAGTTTATGAAGAAAGTCTTGAAACTATTGCTATAACAATCTCTAGTGGCTGTTCTTATAGGTGTCAGAGATGAAAGCAGAGTATTTTCCTCCTAAGGTTGATATTATTTTACAAAATGAGATACCTACAGACTTCTACATCATAGTATCAGGCGCAGTGGTATAACATATCTCTCTTCTTGCGTATTTATTTTACGTAATGCAATATGCAAAATCTGAACTGTATCTAAACTGCAGGAAGTGTTGATATACAAGAATGGAACCGAGCAGGTATGCTTCCTCTGCTAGATCTCATTTTTATACCATCTTTATATCATATTCCGGAAACAAAAATTTATGTTAGCTTGGCTAGGAGAGAATTTAATAGACTATAGTTAAGGGTTAAACTCACCATGCATGTATAAAGCTGATAGAAAGAATATAAAACCATAATTTGGCTTTGAATTGGCATAACATGTAATTATGGTCATCATCTAGATAAAGACTCTGCAATTTAACTGATCTGTAGCATCAAAGTGATAGTGGCCAGCAAGTCAATACTTTGAAATTTAAGTATAAGTTGTGCAATTTGAGAATTTTCAAATCCTAGAAGCATCATTTACGGTTATGTGACATGTGTTTCAAAGTCAACTCTACTCTATTAATGGGATGGCAAAGTAACCCATGATAGAATATGCTCCAGAAAGCCACACTTCCTGTAGGACCTCTTCGAAACAGTAGCTTTTGTCCTTATACACCATCAACAGCATCGTGTGATAGTAAATCAGTAAACAATTTCAGCAAAATCACTATACCTGCTGGAAACATGCATTCATTAAAATAATGATCACAGTGCACAATTATAAGCATAATAACCAGAGCCAGAAAATTAGATTAAAATGCCAACAGCTACGCATATACGGTAGAGTGGAGACTAATCCTGTCATTCATTTGAGTCATGCAAGAATAATTTTCTGATAGTTAAGGTAAAAATATCACCAAGCCAGCTAGAGTAATAAGGGTTTAGACTGTTGGCAAGAAAACATTAAAACCTAAAACCAAAGCTTGAAACCTGTGATACAAAAATAACACACTAGTATTGTTATTTTAAACTAATTTAGCACGACTTTTCCAGTTTCTGTCAAAACTAGGATCTGCTGACATGGCAGGAGAGATTGGCGTAATGTTCAATATCCCACAACCTTTTATAGTGAGAACCAAGAGGCTTTCCCAGGTAATCCGGATTAGCCATCACAATTTAAAGCAAATGGTGCAACCAGAACATGAAGATGGAAAGAAGATTATCTCCAACTTTTTACAGGTAAGAAACTTTTATACATCTCAGTGCATGCGCAGTTGTGATCAGTTCTATACATGATTCTAGAAATTAAGAATAAAAACCTTGGAAGACCTTCAGACAAGAAATTGTCCATATGGGGCCAGAAAAGGATGAAACAACTTTTAGACTACCAATGCATTGGCATATAAATTTGATGAAACAGTGGAAAGCCTCATGGTTTACAAAAGCAAAGAAGGGTAAACCATAATGTCCATGTACTGTATGCCAAACAAACAGTATATTCAGCTAACAGTATTTTTTCATCAATAGTGTTTGCCAAAAATCTCTGTCATTTCCTTCTTCAGTTCATACTTTTGGCTCACCCCTAGATACAGATTGCATATGTTTATGCTGACTCTTCTATTTTCAGTATTTGAAGGGTTTAAAACAGGAAATACAGGAAGAAATACCCTTTTTGACGGAGTTGATTGGTGACATGAATATAGAGGTTCGTATACCTACTGTCTTTGTCCATAACCATAAGTAAGGAAATAAATAAAAAATAAAAACCTCTTTCAAGTGAAAAGGTAACAATATATAATCCTAATTATATTGCCAAAAACCTCAAGCATCCCAGTCTTCTTGTTATCCCAATTTATACTATTGTCTTTAAGTTGACAATAAAAAGTGGCTATGCCAATTCTCATTGATATATATATTAAAGGTTTGTGCTTATACTAATTACTATCTTATTTGCAGCCTACAGGATCAAATGAGCCACAAAATCTTGAAGCATCAAACTCTAATGAAAATACAAACATAAAAGGTAAAATGCCTACTTCAAAATTTATTCTGAGGCATTTATTGGCATTTCCACATGCTAAAGTGGGTGAGAGTATCTGTTTATGTTTGTGTGTGTGCGCGCACCTCTTTGGCCATTTCTGGTGAGGTGAGGAGGGTTTTGGTGAAAGTGAATTGTCCCCATCAAGATCTGCATAGTCTAGTTTTCCGTTGTGAAAACAGCTCACAAGGAAACTAATCCTCGATTTGAACTAGTGAGCCTGACATTTCAACCCTTGCCACATGGCAAATTAAAGATAAGCCATATCTTTAGTCATTTTTGGGAATGTAGGCTATTTTCTTAAAAACATATTGCAGCCTTCATTTGTATCTATTTGTCATCATTCTGCAGGAACACCAGAAACTTCTAGTCCAATACCAAGCATAACACCTATAAGGGTGATAATCCACGGGCACCATCCGAATAAAAGCACAACAGAAGGTGACACGTCGGGAAAGCTTATACATCTGCCAGACTCAATTGAGGATCTCTACACATTAGCAGGTATTACACTGTTACAAGATGCAAACCCCCAAAAATTTTACCAATAAAAAAAGAAGCTATTGTGTCTCTTAGAATAAACTTCCAAAGAATTTCACTAAGTGTTTGCTAAGGATATCTTACAGTTGTAATTTGGTTGTTACCAAATTACAACTGTAAGATATCCTTAGCAAACACTTGCATAAAATTGTTGTATGTTATTAAGGCATTACTATACACAAGCATGAGTTAAAAGAAAAACAACAAAACTAATTTCAAGTTTGATGCAGAGAAAAAATTTGGAAGAAGAGGGAGTACAATTCTCATGGATGATGGATCACAGGTGGAAGAATTGAATGCTTTGAGAGAAAATGATCATTTGTATATCTTTTGAAAATATAAAAGAGATATGCCAATCATCAGTCCATTGAGACCAGTACTTCAATGGAGATTCTGAATGCATTGTAGCAAGTTCAAATTTTCATATAATTAGGATAAAAAGAAACAAAAGTATAAATACAAGTGTATATTTCAGTATCTGTATTTGTGTATGCATATGTGTGGGCATTATGCAAACTAATTTGTATAAGAACGGCATTTTGCTTTTTCTTTTGTATTTATTTTTTACCGGAGAAGCTCAAATTAATCATAAAATATCATTCAACCATAAAATCATGTAATGCTAGCAATGGAGTACAATAGAACTTACAGCTTTCAATCTCTGTTGGCGAGCATATCTAAAACAGTGTAAGCAGCTTTCTGAAAATGTTCCTTCTCTTCCTCCAAAGCTTTCTTCTTCTCATGAGCAGAGGTTTTGCTCTTCTCTATCTCTTCCATAATTCCAGCAGAATTCTGATCAATTTCACTGCAGAGTGAAAGTAGTAGTTAAGTAAAGATTAAACAAATCATGGAGAAGGATAAACAGCTTTGGGCTTGTTATGAGTTGAATAGAGCAGACAATTAGAAACTTGAGCAAGGGGTATTTTTATTATTACTGATTATAAAACTCACCTCATCATCTTAAGCATGTTTGTCATTACCGTCTGGACCTGCTGTGACATATCTGCACTCGATGAAAGAAAAGGCGTTGTTTATTTACACAAAGATTAAAAAAAACAAATTGAAGACCATCCAATATCCAAATGACACAGGCAGATTGGAGCAGAAGACTAAACTAAATGCACAGCCAACACTAAAACGCTATTCACACGTCTCCGTGACTTTAATAAGAGGTAGTTCCTTTTAACATTCATCTAATTTGATATAACAATTCAAAAGATCCTCAATTATACCTTCTTCTTTTTCTATTTTCCTATGTGTCTTTTAACTTATTTGATGATTTATAAAATTATATTGCATATTTACGTTAAACACTTTAGTCTCAGTAAATATTTAATATTCTAAGCTTATAGTGAATCGATTGGCTCAAATTCTCGTAGGAATATAGTGTTTGAGTATTAAAAACACTAGATCAACCATTTCTTTTACAATCTCAATTAATACAAACAAAATTATAATAATGATACAATTTTAGCTCAAAATTTTCACTGACGTTCTCAATTTTTATACCGATACAAACAGAATTGTAAAATAACTTTCCGAACAATAACAGTGATCTTACATAACAGTTAATGATAACGATCTGATTCTATATGCATTTCAACGAGCTTAAAATTCGATTCAAATTAAACTAATCGAATTACAAAACGAAAATTGAAGTAAATTTTAACGCGAAGCGAGAGAACAAAACATGTAAAGAGAACGAACCGTAAACGAGAGAAGAAAGCTGAGATTCAGCTTCTGATGATGGATGATTAACAATTTGAGCATCGAACACAGACGGTGAATTCGCCATTTCTGTTTTTCAAATTTCAAACCCTAAGCTCTTTTTTAACCGTGAAAGAGAAAAGATTTTGTGCAAGTTCTCTTAGGCGCGCGCTTTTTGTTTTTGTAATTAAAGGTAAAAAGTGAAATACCAGAAACACCCTTACTGATCAAACGGATCCATTAGCCCAACGCTACTTAGTTGCCCGATTGATGTAGGTTGTTAGAAAAACCACTCATTAAAATTAAAAAAAAAACAATAAATTATAGATCTGTCTATTGGAATTGGAAACGACAGCGTATGACATTTTAAAACCCCAATAAAAACCTTTAAGTGGCGTCTCATTGGAGCTTGTTGGTCAAGATTTTCTTGTCCAATTGTTCAAGCCTGTTTTATCTAAGAAAATAATAAAATAAACAAACTTCTAGATTATTCTGCTACCTGAAATTGAAGCAATAAAATTGCTATGGCGAGAGATCATATTATAAAATAAAAATATTTCTTAATTCCCTACACGAGAGGAATTTTTTGGTACTTGTGGAGGTAACAAGCCACCTTATTTTATTAAAAATATAAAGTATAATGTTTTTGAAAAATTGTGAATTTATTTAATGAGCAGTCGAATTAATGTTTATTTAGTGTGTCCGGTAGATGTGCAGCAGTGTAGAGTGCCTAACTGCCTATATTTTAAAGAGCAACTATTCCCACTCTTCTTTATGGCCACACCGTGACCACACAGAGCTTTGTCTTTTGCGATTGAATCGAATGGTTATTTTCACGTTACATTTAAAGAGGCACTATTTGCCTCGATACAAAGGAAGCAGAGATGATGCCACGTGTGCACATATTTTCCTTCTTTCTATTTTATTTCAATTCTTTGTCTTTTAATAGAAGTGTAAATATTAATTCCTACGTATTTCAATTAATAAATAAAGAACATTTAATTTATCCTATTCGTTCTGGCTAAAAAATTACATCAAGCAGTTAAATAGAGATTTTATTAAGTTTCAGAATGATTACAAATCAATAATTGATGGCAACTCACTCTCTTTATTTTCTTGTAACCTTAGGTTTCTCACTATTTCATTATATAATAGAAAAAAACTCTATCCCATTTGGACTTATCCGAATCTAATCAGACTCAAACCCAAATATTAATAAAACTATAATGAGTCTAATTAGACTTATCGTGAAGAGGACAACCCATCCGCTCACCGGGGAGTAGGACAGTTGAATGCGTTTGCGTAGGGGTCAAGACCATGCAAAGTATGAATCATATCCAACATCTTTCGAATCCGTCAGATACCATACAACCCTAAAGAACTAAATAAACCACAATATTATTGTAATAAATGGTTCCAAGGTTTGAACACAAGAACTCAAGGAAGGGACACACCTTCCAAACTGTAAAACTAAACCTTTAGGATATTTTTAGTGCTCTCGTAACACTACAAATCATACCGCTTGATCATGCCGCTTGTAATTTAGAATGTGTTCAACAATAAAGTTTCCTAATAATATTAGTAAAATTATTTTTTCTAAAAACCATATTATAACTTTTTTATTATTTCACATTGTTTTATGACTTTATGTGGATTTAGTCACCTTAGAGGGGATCATGTTACCCCACATTTTTATATCGTCCTCATTATAAATTATTTTAGATGCTTTTTTTTTTCCTTTATATATAAGAATCATTATTTGAAGGTGACCGCTGAAAAGGGCAAAAAAATTAAAAAAATAAAATGGAAAATATAAACAAAAATAAAATAACGAAGTCCCAGTTTCATCATCATAATTCATCAATGTCCATTTCTATTATAAAAGCCACGTAGGCCCCATCACGTGTGCTGGGCCCCACATCCAAAGGGAGTTAAAACTTAAAATTATTCTACATTATTGTATGTTATTACACTACAGAGTACAGACTACACAACAATTGGTCGTACGGAAAAGTAAAATCAAACCGTCAATTGACCCGTCTGTTTTAAAGGAATCTTCACATAACAACCGTTGGATTTCACCGAGATCGGGGACTAATAGTACACGTATACGAAAATCTGAGTCTCGGGAAACGACAAAAAAAGGGGGCAGAAAGCAAAAACTCAAAAGTTCAAAAAAAAAAAAAAAAAAAAAAGTTAAATAAAAGAGTGAAGGAAATGATGAAACTTGAGTTAGGTTATAACTCGTAACTCAGGTTAGGTTAACTAACTCTAAGGCGTGGCTATTGAAAGCAAGGGACCAGCAATTATTAGTTAACAGTTATGTCACGACGTTGACTGCCGTTACGTGGTGCAAGTGTAGCAGTAAGGGAACTTGCGGGAAGTTTGATACTTCGACTGTCAGCCGGGATGACTTTACTCGGCGATTCCAAAGACTTAACGTTCTCGTGTAAACTTTCTGATTATCATAATACCCTTTGTCAATTTCTAAATTTCCAGCTGACTACAGTAATTTGAAATTCCATGGAAAAACCATCATAAATAATGTACTAATAGCAGTGTTAGACATTATTGTGAATGATCATATTTTTGTTATGATTTTAGTACGGTTAAGAAGAATATATGATTTAATATCAATGAATTTGGAATTTTAAGTAAAGCATATAATATATGATTGAATGATGCAAATGTATTTATGTTTCAATAAAGGTACAATGATACAATAAAACTTTAATAATTTTATTTGATTAAAGTGAGCATATAATAAAACAAGGAAAAATGCTTTTATCATTTTTCTGATTTGGCTCAACTCAAGACCCAGTCCCACGCTTCACAAAGACAAAACAATGGAGTAATCAAATCGATATGAGGATATTAGAGTCTTTTTCTTTTTTCTTTTTTTTTTTTTTTTTGTTCTTCGATGGAACGGATTTCAAAATCGCCGAGTAATTTATACAAATGAATCCAAAACTTCGTGATGACGGCAGTTAATAGGCGTGACCGTTGGTGAGTTCCAAAAAAACCCTCACAGGTCGTAATTGTTGTCGTGTAGTGATGAGTTATTAAAAAAAGGGCAATAAAGGAACTGAACCATTTCCCTCCTTACAGTACGCCTTTCTGTTGTATCTAAGTTTCTCTAATTACTTTCCCTTTCAATTTTTCATTTTTTATTGAATAACTTTTTGCCACATCATCACGACCATTGGATTTGGACAAAACTATTTGACCAAAAGAAAATCACAAGACTAACAAGAGGGTAGCTCAGTAATAAAAGAAGAGTAATGGGCAGATATAATTTATCGGTAATTTATACATATTAAAAAGAAAACCCGTAGCAGGGATTTTTAATGCTGTAAAAAAATGGTTGGAGTGGTAGACTTGATTATCTCAAAGCTGAATAAAAATTTATCCTTTTGATTAAGAGTTATGGAAGGAGAGAGGTGATACTGAAGAGACATAAATGAGAGAAGAGAGAAGAAACTTGAACAATAAAAGTAGCTAAAGGTAAATACGTATATACAGAAGTTGGTAAAACATATTTGTATTGCATTATTTGCATACGTAATTACGTGTGTTTGGGGAGTGAGAGAAACGAAACAGAGAGAGAGAGAGAGAGAGAGAGAGAGAGAGAGAGTGTGTGTGTGTGTTGAGGAGTATTTCAGAAGCTTATTGCTTCGCTGATTTTGAGGCATGAAACAGAGGGAGAGAGAAAAGAAAGAGAAGAGTGGTGCACAAGTTTCACATTCACAAACACACACAGTCACAGCTTCTCCTGTCAAACTCTTATATTTACTGCATTTGGTCTCGTCTTTGAAACATATTTCTCTCGCAAGTTTCCAGAACTAAAATAGAGACCACTCGGCTCAGGTGGGCTTTTTTTCACGTTTTGTTTTTACTTTTTTATTGTGAATGCAGAAAGACTATTTTTTTTTATTTTTTATTTTTTTCTGGTTTTTGGTATTGGGTTATTATTATTTTTTTAAGCTAGAGAAATCAAGATGATATTTGATGGTTTGATCATCTTCTTAGAGATTATTCTTACTTTGCATTCATGGGATTTTCTCATCTGGGTTTCTTCTTATGGAATGATTTCCAAATCATTCTTTTTTTGGTTGTTTGTTTGTTCTCTCTCATTTGCTAGAGGCTAGATGGAGTTTACTACTTTCTAGTAAAAATCTAGCCATCTAGGTAAATGAACTCTCTTTTTTTTTTTTTTTAACTTAGAAAGTTTAATCAGATCATCTGACATTAAAAGATTTAGCTATAGGAAGCCATTTACTACTCATTAATTGATTTGACATTTCTCTGTCATCATCTCAGGCTTCTTTCAAAGCTATAATATTCTACTTTTATTAGAAAGAAAAAAATCTGGGGTATTTTTTATGGAGTTTTGAAAGGTTTCTAGTTTCTACCATCACAGTATCACATTGTTAGATACGGTTTTGTATTGATCTTTCAGTTTTTGGGATTTCATGAAATGTATTATTCATATGGAAATATGACATCTTGATTATGTTCCTTGTCAATATAGCTCATAGATTAATGACAGTAACATTCAGTTCTTCATCTTTATTGATTTTTATATGTGGGTGAGTTTGATGATTAATTATTTGTTGAAATCTGTTGATTTTGGTGCAGACAAGGGAACTTCAGCTGTTTCTGAGAGGGATTTTTAAGGTTTGGAGATAATGCTGAGGAAGAGGACCAGGTCCGTTGAGAAAGATCAACAAATGGGTCATCTAACTGGATCTGAATTTGGTGCTGAGTCCCATTTTTATTCCGAAAATCACAAAAACAAGGCCTTGTTTAGTGTACCTCGGCTGTTTGTTGGGTTGAGTCCTAGGGGTTTATCAGATTCTGATTCAGTTAGGAGTCCAACATCTCCTCTGGATTTTAGGGCGTTTTCAAATCTAGGCAGCCCTTTCAGGTCCCCAAAATCACCGCATAACGCCCAACAGAAGAGTTGGGATACTAGTAAAGTAGGCTTAAGCATCATAGATTCTCTTGACAATGCTAATAAATTGTCAGGGGAAGTTCTCCGATCAGATAGTAAGAACATTCTTTTTGGACCTCAAATGAGGACTAGAACTTCAAATAGCCAAACCCATATCAATTCTTTCAAGGCACCTCAATCTTTGCCTAAAAATTATGCAAATTTTCCTCATACACAGACCAAATCTCCCCTACAAAAGGGCAACTCTAATGTTGTTTTTGAAATTGGAGATACCCCATTAGAACCTGAGCCGTTTGGGAATTTCCGCTCTTGTTCACTGGATTCCTGCAGGTCTTTTCCAGTTTTAGCTGGTTTCGCTGACCGCAGCCCTGGTTTGAGTCCTAGGAGTTCTGGTTTGGAAAAATTAGCCTCCCAGGCAAGTTCTCCTCCTCTGCTGATTGGAGGAAGCTTAAATTTAAACAATTTTTCGCATGTAAAACCAGATTCGATGTCTGTAACCAGTGGCTCCGGCAATGGATTTATTGAAGCCCTCTCAGGAAGTGAGATTGAGCTTTCTGAGGATTATACCTGTGTAATATCTCATGGTCCCAACCCTAAAACAACTCATATATATGGGGACTGCATTTTGGAAGGTCACTCTAATGAGTTGATGAACAACATTTGCAAGGGTGAAGTGAAGGAAACTGAAGGGGTGAAGAGCTCAACCACTCCATATCCTTCTGTTGATTTCTTAAGCTTCTGCTACACTTGCCGCAAGAAATTGGAGGGTAAAGATATTTACATATACAGGTATGCCCCAATCACAGTACTAATAACCTGTTTATTTAGTGGAAATGCACCTTGGCTGGAAGATTTTATGTTAAAGACTCTGGTTTGATTGATTTATTGCAGAGGCGAGAAAGCATTTTGCAGTTTCGATTGTCGTTCACAGGAGATTTCGATTGATGAGGAAATGGAGAAAATCATCAGGTCTTCTGAAAACTCTCCCACATCAGACGATGTTGAGGAGCTCTTTGAAACTGGTATCTTTATCACATAAAAGTCTTTCACAATAGCCACCATGTCCATGATTGATGAACACTCAAGTGAGGTAGACGCATTGATCATCTGTCCATAAAGAGCTGTTTATCTTCGTGCAGTCAAGTCTTAGCAGCCATGGATGATCGTTTTGTATATTGTTTCGTTTGCCTATTATGTTTCAGCATTCATGGCCATGGTGGGTATTGGTTCATAATTGGCTAGTTTTGCCATCCATAATAACTCACATATATAATTATATATCCATATTCTGAGACTTTTATCCTGTTATAATTGATGTAGAAAGGGTAGAAGCCCCTTTTTATGGCTCCCCAAACTTATTTCCATTTCTGCATCATCACTTTTGGCTATTCGGCAAGAGTTGAATGTATAATCTTGCAACTCAAAATTTTGACTCAATATATAGTACTATAATTCAAATCTAGCTGCTATTTTCTTTCCCTTTCTCTTATGATCCTTCAACTTGTACTGTTTGAATGAGAAGAAGAACAGAGATTCAACTTGGAAAAGAAATTTCTGGGGATGTTACACTTCTCTCAAATTGATTCCCAGTTTGCCTGTTGGAATTCATAAACAGCTCCAGTTAGTTTCATATTCCAGTTGCTTCAAAATATTTCAACTAGATTACATCCTGACATTAAACGGCTTTTGCTCATGTTTGTAATCTCTGGTATTAAGTAAAAGCTCCATGGCCACAAACAAAAAGCAGGGTACTTTTACTTGTCCTTCTCTGACATGTGCAATTATTGTGGGGGTCCATACATGTAATTTTCCTTTGATTATTTCCGAAAACAACTTGCTGCCTTTTTATTTATGCAACTTCACTTTCATTATATATATCAGATTTCCAACGTGTTTTTACTTTTTAAATCAAATCAATACCATTCTTTATTATTTCAGAATGGACCCAATTGCTAAATTATTGAAGACTTCCACACCACCGTCAGCTGTGGAACTGAGTAAAATTTACCTCCTTCTGCCTTGACATTATTTTTTAGCTTCCTCTCCTTGAATTACCATTCACAGGCCACTAAGTTTCAGTTGTAGTTCAGTTTTTTCAGATTTGCATGCTGAAAAATACTAACATGATGCCCCGGCACCCGATTATCCAAAAAAAATACTTGAATATGAAACTGTTTTCGTTGTATTTTGCTATAATTTAACTATGTTAAANATGGCTGACATTCACAATGACGAAGAAAACCCAACGCCTCTTCGAATCGTAGAGTCCGATGGCGCAAGCAGTTCAATGGTTGCTCCGGTGAATGTTCTGATCAGTGAAGGTGTTCCAGCAGCGGAGATGACGGCGGCAGAACAAGAGAGAGAACTGGAGCAAAACGGTTCTGGCGAGAAAGAAGAGGCTGGCCAGAATTCAGGCGAGGAAGAGGAGTCCCGCGAGAGTTCAGGCGAGGAGGAGGAGGCCGCGGAGGAGGAGGAGGCCGCCGAAGAAAAGGTATATGTACTGTCGCTTAAGCGATGTAGGATCGCTTAAGCAATAATGTCCGAAGCATACTGAACATCTGACAAGAACTAAGATCGCTTAAGTGATCTTTTGTATCGCTTAAGAGATTGATGACTTTTACTCTTGGTGGCTTAAGCAAAATAGGACCGCTTAAGAGTAAAAGCAATGAATCACTTAAGCGATCTTAGATCTGGCAGATGTTGATTCTGCCTCGTAGAAGATCTCTTAAGCGATCTGTAATTGCTTAAGAATAAAAGAGTTGAATCTCTTAAGCGATACTAAGTATCGCTTAAGCGATCTTAGAACTGGCAGATGTTGATTCGGCCTCACAGATCTCTTAAGCGATCAAAAATCGCTTAAGAGTAAAAGAGTTGAATCGCTTAAGCGATACAAAAGTATCGCTTAAGCGATCTTAGACTGGCAGATGATTCTGCCTCGTAGAAGATCTCTTAAGCAATCTGTAATTGCTTAAGCGACCTAGAGTAAAAGTGATTCATCCCTTTACTGTGGGTCGCTTAAGCGATTAGTAAAAGCGATGAATCGCTTTTGTATCGCTTACGCAATCTAAGATCTGGGCAGATGTTGATTCTGCCTCGTGCAAGATCGCTTAAGCGATCTGAAATCGCTTAAACGATCAAGAGTAAAAGCGACGAATCGGTTAAGCGATCTTATATATCGCTTAAGTGATTCTTCGCTTTTACTCTTGGTCGCTTAAGCGATTTCAGATCACTTAAGCGATCTTGCACGAGGCAGAATCATCTACCCATCGCTTAAGCGATTCTTCCAGAGCGTATTTTGTTTATATTTGATTTGGTTAAATTTTTTTGGTGATATTCTGTTTATATCGATTGTGCAGATTTTCCGGAGCATAAACTTTAGANTTGTTTAATATATTTTCTGAAAACATTTATTATTTGATTCTGAAACTTTTTTTTTCTGTTTACAATAAAGAAGTTAGAATCTGGATTACCAATAATCTTCACATTAGCAATGACCATCTTGAAACCGATGGAATCTATGGCTATCTCGAATTACAATTTCTCTATTATAGGTTTGAGATACAAGCTTCATAAATGAGTGACAATCTCCACAAATCCGGAGATTATTCACAATCCGTATTGGGCTTTTTTCACGGGTTCTTCTAAGCCCAACCTTTCACTGTAGTGAGATGATGTTTGTTGTGGATCTTGTTACTGTAATCTTCTTTCAATCTCGTCCAACATGGAATAAAATTCTGTAGCATGATGATCAAAGAAATCCCCACAAGTAAACTTATGAAGAACATCTTGTTCTATAAGGCTATATCCTGGTTGCTTTGCTTCCTTAATCCTATATCATGCAGCTTTGTTCTTAGTCTGCTCACACCCTCTAATCTACCAGCTTTTGCATAAAAATTTGAATGCATGTTCGGCTATTTCGACATTTTGGTAGCTTCCACATGCTTTCAACAAGGAACGCCATATGCAAACATCTGGTTCAATTGGCATGGAAGCAATGAAATTTGATGCCTCATCTAAATGCCCAGCACAATCCAGGAGATCAACCATACATCCATAATGCTGTATCTTAGGGTTTATGTCGTAACTACTCATCTTATGGAAGAATTCATAACCTTCATCAATTAAAGCTCCATGACTACAGGCTGTTAGAAGAGCTATAAAAGTGACATGATCGGGCTTTATTCCAGTTTCTTCCATTTCCAGTTTCCGTGCTTGTCCCGCCATGGCATATGTTGCTATCATTGCAGTCCATACAAATATATTCCTCTCACTAATTTCAGAAAACAATCATACGCTATTTCATAGCAACCACACCTTCCATATATGTCAATTAGAGAAGTTCCTAACATGCTATCTAGACTAATTTGATTTTTCTTCATGTAAACATGGACCCAAATTCCATGATTAAGGGCTTCAACGCTAGCACAGGATGATATAGCAAACAAACCAAAGTGAACTTGTCAGCTTTTATATGAGAACTCTGCATCTTGTGGAAAAGCTCAAACAACTCCTGAAACTGATTATATCTAGCATAGCAGTTGACCATAGTGTTCCACGAAATCACATCTTTTTCAGGAATCACATCAAAGATGGCTCTTGCCTTTGCAATATTTCCATTTCTGCAAAATCCATCCAACATCTTTTCAGGAATCACATCAAAAAGGCTCTTGCCTTTGAGTATTTCCATTCTGCAAAATCCATCCACATGTATTCCAAGTACAAAGTCTTGAAGCAACTGCTCAAAGATTCTGCATGCTCATTAACTTGTTCACATTTTGCATACAAGTCTATCAGAGCATTTCCACCAAACACTCATTCCATCTTTAAATAAGCAGTGGATAGATCTGCCAAACCGAAATTCCCCACTCAACACTTGCCGAAAGTGCTGTTATGAGCACAACCTCAGGCCAAACAACTTTGAACCTCATTTCTCTAAATAACTTCAAACTCATAAAAATATCCACCTTGAACATAACCAGAAATCATTGCAGTCCATGAAACGCTCTCTCTGTCATCTGGTCAACCAGGAACCTAGCCGCATCTTTTTTTCGACTTCACATACCCACAATAATGTGTTCCCAAAACAACATCAACATCATCAGCACCCTCTATCCAGAAGCTTTTGTGCTTCCTCCATTTTCCCACACTTGATATACATATCCACCCAACAATTCAAATTCCAACTATGCCTAAATTTTTCTCCTCAATGTAGAGATGCAACGCCTCTCCCATTTTCAATCCCTCAACTTTGCACTTGCTGAAACCAAGCTAACCATGGTTATCTCATCAGGACTAACACCATGACATCATTTTACGAAATGAATCCAACCTTCTCTATACAAACCCTTGTAACAAACAAGATACATGTATTCCAATCTAAAACATCCTATGGGCAATTTCAAACAATTGACACACTGCCTGCAATTTTCCACATTTTATACATGCCCATTAAATTATTAGTCCAGAGATAGATTATTTCCGAACCCAGATTTCAAGATTCTCCTGTGAACTTCACTCCCTTGTTTGAAAGCAATGCTCTAGAGCAAACATGAATCGAAGTGGAAAGTAGATATATTTAATTGAACACTTGTGAGACAAATGGAAATAATTGTCAAAACTTGAATAAGACGAATAGCAAATAAAGTGAAGTACCAAAAAGCAACAGGAAACTTCGAAAAAAAACGAGAGGCGAGTAAGATCTGTTAAACACAAAAAATGACCCACCATCAATGAGTCGATATCAAAAACAAAAAAAATAAACACAAGCAGAGAAGCACGGAAAGTGGAATAAAGTACAATCAGAAGAGGTTCATTTGAGCCATCTGACAGACTTGGCGAGATTAGATTGTGTTGCACTGTGATGAACGAATTCAATGAATTCAACAAAATAAAAAAAGAAGAATTATTTGGAAATAGCAAAGGTGGAAAATTGAAAAAAAACACTTATGACGCGAGAAACGTAGACGAGAAAGCGCGGTACAGTCCTAAAGAGCCACAGGCTGCCTCGTTGTAAAACTAAAGGAAAATTGGTTTTCAATTAAAATGAAATATAGGAGAGGAAAAGAGAAAAAAATGGAGTGAAATTAACTGTCCGGCCATCCCAAGTTTCAATTAACAAATGGTCATAGAATCTTTTTTGAGTTTTTTTTAGGTTAAAAAATATGACGTGGCATACTAGTGTAATATAAGCAGTAAAAAGGAATTAGGGTGAAACAATTAAAAAATTTAGGTTGTAGAGTAATAAGAGAAGTAATGATTTAAAAATTTGGAAAGGCAGAACTACATTTCTCTCATGTTCTTTCTCTCTTCTCGTTTTTATCTTCAAATTTCTGCATTTCTCCAATTTTTCTGCTATTTGCATTTTAGTTCATTCATCTGTCATTCCCGTTAAGTTATATGCTGATCCTTAAAGAACAAAAAAAACCAGCTATACTGCCCCAAATTTTAGGCCACATGACTTGGTTCACCAATAAAAGGAGAAGAAGAAGTTGTGGTGGAGTAACCGATGACTGAATTGCTCATAGGAGAGGCAGACGGTGTCGGAGAAGATTTCTATTCGTGAACACAAGGAGGCAAGAGTTGAAATTGGAAACTGGAAGAGTGAGGATGCTGACGCACAATGCTAGCGTCAGACGGATCGCTAAGCGATCTAAAATTCGCTAAGGAACAGAGTAAAGCAAAGGATCGCTGAACGATCTGGTATATGAAAGAAGATCGTCTAAGCGATCTAGTATACATTTTAGATCGCTTAAGCGATCATGCATCTGGGCAGAGAAGCCTGATCGCCGTGGACCATGATCGCTTAAGCGATTATAATCGATTAAAGCGA